GCAAGGTGCCCTTCACGGGAAGCCGCGGCAACAGCGCCAACTGCAAACCGCCAGCTGGTCTCCTTGCCCACGGGTTCCTGCGGGCCGTCGACTCGAGGGCGGCTGGGCGACGTATTCGCCAGACGATCGAGGCGCGGCGCGCCCTCCCGCCTTCACTGCAGGAAGGTATGCGACGGCGGCCGCCTGCTAAGCGGATCATGGTCGCCGACGGCAGCACACCCGACATCGAGGACGACCCCCGCGACCACAGATACCCCGTCCTTCACTCTGACATCGAAGCCGTTTTCGGGCCACGACGAGAAGGAGCTCTAGCCTGGCTGCAACAGCGCGGACTGCGCCGTCGTAGCTATGACCGACAGCCCCATCTTCGAGAGCCGCTCCCATTCAGGCAGGTCCCAGCGAGGACGCTGCAGCACGGCCAGTGCGTCATCCCCACCGACCTACCAATCTTGCTCTCATGGCAGCTGGCGACCGGCCTCTCCCATGCAGCACCAGCTGCCCCTTCCCAGCTCCGGCCTCTGCGCTCTTCTTTTGCCGCGCCGTTGCCTTCGCTGTGCTACAGAAGCAGCGACAGCTGGACTGCATCGTTCCCTCATCTTCTACCTCTTGGCGACGGCGCAACCCCGTCTCTACGAGCATTCTGGCGGGGGCCGCATCATGCCCAGGCACTTGCGACGGCAACTTCGGCAAAGGGTTTTGCAATGCAGTGGGCGCGCGGTCAGGCGGGGCTCCAAAGCCCGCCGTGGCTGTCCCGCCCGCGTATGCTACTTGCCCGGCTCCATGCAGCAGTGCTTGCCACGTCGAACCAGTGGATTGAGCTCTCTCATGCGCCTCCTCGGTGGCGGCCTGGACCGCTGGCTGCGAGCTGGGGCCTCGGACGTAGCAGCTCGGAAAACTTCGTTTTTACTGCCCCTGAGATGGCCCGCCCAACCTCCGCCCCCTCCTGGCTCGCCTCCACCTACATTCATGCCCCCCCCCACTGCGGGTTTTGTGTTTTGCGCGGGGGGCTGTGGGCGAGGGGGCCGCGCCGAGGGCTGCCCTGGCAAGGGCCGGGGCTGCCGCGGCGCCAGCGCTGCCGGGCATTGCATCCCGCGCGGCCCGGCGATGCGGTTCGGCGGGCTGGCCCGCGCGCTTCGTCCCCCTTCCGCGCAATGAGAGTTTTCGCTCCTGCATCCTCCGCGCTGCTGGCCTCGCACCTTCGCCTGGTCCTCTTAGCCTATGGGGCGATCCTCTTCCCCCCTCTCGATTGGCAGTCAAGCGGCTTCAGCCTCCCTCGCGACCGACAATGTGCAATCGCGGCCGCCTTCGCGCCGGCGCGGGGCGCCGCGGCCGCTCGGCTTGCGTCGCATCGTCAGGTCTTCCCCCGCCCCTTCCCACTTCAGTCATCTAGCATGCGGCCTCCGACGTGGTTCCGGGAGAGGAAATCGCAGCCCTCCGCGGCCGCCGTCGTGATGGCGCATGCCTTCCCGCGCCTGGTGGAAGCCCCCGCCCGACCCTGCAGTCCCCCGCTGGGAACCCAGCGGCCGCCTCGGCGGGCGAGGGCCCTCTTTGGCGGGGCGGGGGGTCGGGGTGGCGGGGATTTGGAAGGGCTGTGGTGTCGCAGGCCTAGAGGTTGACACCAACGCCAATATCGGCGGTGTGCCTCCACCGAGGGAAGACGATCCCGATCTCGGTGATGTGGTAATATTCTGGCTTCCAAGGTGGCCGAACTATTACCACTAACACCGAAATCTAGCGGAGGAGTGGTGGGCGGGTTCTACGATTGGGCCCGCATCTCGAACTTTATCGCTTCAGTGTTATTGGGCCCTTGGCCCCTCGGAGCCATCTCCCGCGCGACCCCCCCTTTCCCTTCCTCCCGATGCGCAATGGTTTTCGCGGGTCCCGCCCGAGCCGCGCGCTCAAGTTTTGTGGTTGCGTTTTATTCCCCCTGGGGGTTTGCAGTCGGTTCATTCAAATGTGTGAAAGTCTGACGTCTCGACCGTGTTGGCGTGCTTTCGCGGATTTGTGACGTTATTCGTCGCCCAGGCGGCTTCGAATCCCCCTCGGCAAGTGCGTTTCTGCGGCAACGGGAGAAGTAGTTGCAGTCGTTGTTCGCGGTGTCCGTCCAGCTGTCGCGTTGGCCCAAGGTTTCGGGGCTCGTCCCGACGCGAGCCGCGTCTGTGGGGTCGCTCTCTCCTGGTTCGCACTTGCGCTTGCAAGTGGATGATGGTACTGGCAGGGGGCCAGGCCCTGGCCCCCCCGGGCCGAGTGCCCGACAGGCGATCCTGGGGGATCGGGGGGCTGGTCGAGTCTCCAGGCCTCAGGGGTCGGGTCGCGCCAGACCGCCCATGTCGCCAGGCACTGCAGCCCCGGGGGCCCTCGGGAGAGATCCCGGGCAGTCCCAGAGCGGCCCTTAAGTGCAAGGAGCAGGACCCCGAGAGACCCCCGCCTCGCGCTTTTCGCGCCGGCTTCTTGGACTGCGAGCGCGCGCCCGAGCGCCGCGGCCGGCCTCCGCGGCGGCCAGGCCAAGACGAAACAGATTGAACCAGAGCCGTGAGGTCGACGTCGCGCCGCTCCCTGCAGGGCGGTGCGAGTTGGAGCCCCCGGCTTGGTGCTCCGCCGCGGCGCGCTGCTGGCGGCTCTGGCGGCCCCCACCGCAGCGCCGGCTTAAGGGGGCCTCCTCGCCGCGGGCAGCCCCGAGGTAGCTGCGCTGCAGACGGCTGGCGGGAGGCTTCGCCAGAGACTCCGCGACCTCCGCGCGGCGCCCCTGGACGATTAGGTATCGGCGGCCCTCCTGCGCGCGAGGGCGCGTTTCGATTGCGCCTTCCTGGCCCCCGCTCGCGGCGCCCCGAGCGGGGGGGCGCGGGCTTCGGACGGGGCTTCGGCCGCGGAGTGCGAGCGCGCCTTGGGCGACGCGTTGGGCGACGCTGCGCGTTGGAAGCGCTTCTTCGCTGGCGCGGCCAGAGGCCTCGGGCTGCAGAGCGCTCACCTCGCGGCCCCCGCAGCGCGCGCCACCTCCCCGCACATTTGCTTGCCGCATTGCCTGCGCAGGCTGGGCCTGGAGAGCGCCGCTAGGCGCGCCGCCGCCTGCCGGCGGCCGCTGCGACGCTCCGGGCCGCGCCGGGAGACGACGCCGCCCGCGTGGGCGACGAGGCGTTGACGACAGCGCGGCGCGCTCGTAACAGCCCCCAAGTTGCAGCTGCCCGCCTCGCCGCCGACGAAGTGGCCGCGGACCCCTGGCGGGGCGGGGGCCGCCCTGCGCTCCTCGGGGGTCCCGGGGGCGAGCGCCCGCCTGCTGGTGCCGACGTTGCCCTGCGGCCGGCGGACCGACTCGCAGTTCGACGTTGCACTGTGGTTCTGGCTGCACTTCGACCTGCAGGGCTGTGCGGGCGCCCCGCTGGCGGCGGGCGCAGCCGGACCGAGACCGCCGCGCCGAGGCTTTGCCGGCGCTGGCGCCCCAACGGCCGGATCTGTGGCGTGCCGCTGGGCGCCGAGGAGCTGCGCGCGCGTCTGCGCCGTGGGCGGGTGGCTGGTCAGTCGCCGCGCTGCGGGCTGCGCGGCGCTCGCGGAGTGGCGCGGGGAACAAGGGCGCACCGTGCGCTGGGAAGCCCTGCTCCCCGTGCTGCGCCAGGGAGGCGCGGATGTACTTTGTCGTTCGCGCCCCGCGCCTCGCCGAATTGCTCGTGGTCGACGTGGTCGTGGTGGACGCGCTCGCGCAGGACGTGCTCGGGCTCGGCTCTGCGCGGCGCGACGGCGCGGTTGCGTCGGCCGCGGCGTGGCGCAAGCGGGCTCGCTGCCCTGGGAGGCCGTGGCGCCCTTCGTGGTGGAGGGCCGCGGCCGCCTCGGCGAGGGCGCGCTGGCACTGGCTTGGCAGCTGGCGCCCTCGCGGGGCACCGAGCGCTCCGCGTCCATCTGGCCACTGTGCCAACCGGGTCACGACTTTCATTTCCGTAGCATCACGAAAAGACGAAAGAAAACAATGGTTTGATCACATCCTTCGAATGTTTTTGAATGAACGCGCGTCGTCCGTCACGCGTCTCGAACGCTGTGAGCGCTGAGCCATCCCGAGCGGTGATGCGCGGTCTCTCAAGTGGACGGACGAGGGCGAATAATCGACTTTCAATGGGCAATTGATCGTGATCGCTTCCCTGCAGTTCGTATTTAGATGTTTCAGATGCTATACATCGCCTTCATGGGGGAAGGCCCCCCCCGAGGTGCTGACCTCCCGGAAATAGAGCCCACACAGGGGAGCCTCCAGAGGCTAGTTTGAGCCAATCAATCACGGGATATCCGCATTGGCCGCCAGGGGGGGCACCCGAGGCTAATGGACCTTGGCAAATGGGGATCCCCCCACGAGGGGTCGGCGTGGGCAGCAGAGAAGTCCCACAATGGCCAATGCGAGCCTCACGCAAACGGAGCCCACGCAGGGAAACCTCCAGAGGCTAATTGGAGCCAGTTGCGGCCAGCTCCGGCCTTCCGCAAATTTCTTCCTTGCGGGAGGTCAGCGCTGGGCTGATCTCCCGAAACTGGTTCCACCTCGCCCCTGGGAACTTCTTTGGGTGGGCTTAACGGGAGGTCCGCGTTGGCATCGTGGGGCCTCCCCTGGCGTCCACTGCGGACCTCTCATCAATTACTTGTACTAGCCCCTGGAGGCTTCCCTGGGTGGGCTCCATTTCGGGGAAGTCAGCATTGGCCTCGGCCCACCCCCTCCCTGGCGGCCAAGGCTGACCCCATCGCAAGTGGAACGATTTGCCGGGGGCCCGCATTGGCCTCGCCCGCCCGGCTCCGTTCGCGGTCAATGCTGGCCTTCCGCGAAGGGGTTTCCATTTGCGAGAGGTCCGCATTGGCTGTTGGCTGCCTTTCAGGAGCCGCCAATGCGGTCCTCCTTCAATTCATTGATTAGCAGGATGTCTTTTCCCGCGAGCTCACAGGGTCGGTTACTCCCCCTTGCTCCCCCCCATTCCTTTCTCTGCCCTCTCCCAGTCTCTTCCCTTTCCCTGGCCCCCCAGAGTGCGACACAGGACGAATACGTGATACACCACTGCCTGGTTGTGGACCTCGTGCTGCCGACGCTTGGCATAGCGCTGGAGGTGGACGGCCCAGGCGGCCCTCCGTGCTCCCGCGGGCGGGTCGGGGCCGATACGCTGCTCCGCCCTGTCACCCCCAGTTCTCCTGCCCCTGCTGCTGCTCCTCCTCCCCCCTCCTGCTACTGCTGCTGCTGCTGCTCCTCCTCCTCCTCTTCCTCGTCCTCCTCTTCCTGCTCCTCCTCGTCCTCCTCGTCCTCCTTGTCCTCCTCCTCCTCCTCCTCCTCCTCCTCCTCCTCCTCTTTCTCCTCCTCTTCATCGTCCTCCCTCCTCCTCACCTCCTCCGTTTTCCTTCCTTTTTCCCGATTATCCATTCTCCTCCTGCTCCTCCTGCTCCTGCTCCCTGCTACTCCTCCTCCTCCTTTCCTCATCCTGCTCCCATTCCTCCTGATTCTCCTGCTCGTCGTGATCCGTGCTCCCTGACCGCTGCTTCTGCTTATCTTGCTCCTGCTGCTGCTGCTGCTTCTCCTCCTCCTCCTCTTCCCCTCCCCACCCTGCCGCTTCCCCTACTCTTCTCCTTTCGCTTCTTCTCGCCTTTCGTTTCGTATTCTTGGTATACGTACGGGTCTTACTACTGTTCTTATTGTTTGGCTTATTACGGTATCCATCGTATGTTGTTCTTTTTATTGCTATCAGCCACGCGCAGAGGGGGGTGGGGGGAGGGGGGAGGGTTTCTTAGAAGCACCCCTGCTTCTTAGAAGGCGCGGGCCTTATCAGTAGATGTAAGGCCGGCGCCTTCTAAGAAACAGCCTCCTTCTAAGAAGCCCTCCCCCTCCCTCCACCCCCTTGTGCGCGCCGCCAATGTTAGTAACGCGCTGCGTCGCATGCTTGTCATCATTCGTGCTAGTCGTCGCATGGCCATTTAAGTTCGGAGTATTCTTAGCGTTCGTCTCATTCGCCTGCCTAGTTTTCGCACAATTGACATCCGTACTAATACTTGTAGTGGGTGGATTATTGTCAGGCGTGGCGTTGTTACGTGTTTTCGTACTAGTGTTTTTAATGTGTGTTCTTCATATTTCGAAGGAGTGCCAATCTTATTATCTGAAGGGCTTCTCCTCTGCCGCAGCCCCCCTCAGCTTGCTTGCGTGGCCACGCTTGATCGGTAGGTTGGTTTATTTTCTTGTCGTTTGGCTGGCTGCTGATTGGTCTGTTGTCTGCCTTGGCTGGTTGGCAGTTGATTCGGGCTGTTTGCTGACTGGCTGGTTGAATGCGTCTGTAGTAATTAAGTCGGGATGGTTGCCTCGGGAACGCGCTTCCATCGGAATTTGCCAGGGTTCGCGGCTTCGGGAGCGCGCAGACCTAGTTATTCTAGAGGATTCGTGTCCTCGGGTCCACAGCCGAATTCTCAGGAGATGACGAGGGGGTGAAGCGCGCTCCCGAACACATATCCCAGTCCAGAGAATTATTGTTTTCTGCTCTGGAGGGGGTGGCGCTTTCGGGCTTCGGGAAAGCGAATGCGCCGTAATTTACAAGAAAGGATTGTGGCCTCGAGGGCGCGACTCCATCGTTGCTGCTGGGGGCTGTTATTCCATAGTTGCGCGACTCGTCCGTGGTAATTTGTGAGGGGTTGTGGCTTCGGGAACGCGAAGTTGTATCCTCGGGGGTTCCAATCGCTTGTAAGTTATACGGGCCTGCTTCGTCGGGAGCGCCAGTTCGCAGTAGACTGCAAGGAGCTGTGCTATCGGGAGCGCGAGCAGGGGTTGTGACCTTCAGAGCGCAACTTTCTGTAGTTCGAAAAGGATATGTGGGCCTCGGGGGTGCCAATCTGTCGTACTGTGCCCCAGGGTCCAGATCCGAACTCTCGGGAAACGGCTGGGGAGCCCAAAAGCGTTCCCCGAACACAGATCCATCCAAATACAGACCATGAGAGTTTTCTGCACTCGGAGTATTCTTATTGTTCTGTTCTGATTCATGGTCCTCCTCCTCCTCCTCCTTCTCCCCCTACTCTGTCATGCGTGGGTACATGCTGGTTGTTCAAGCGATTGCCCCCACTCCTCCCCCAGGGCACCAGCAGTGCACCAGCTGAGTGTGGCCCGAGCAGAGCTTTTCTCGATTTTGCAGGCCCTTCGTTGTGAGCGAGCTCCGCTGTCTAAGAAAATATCAGCCAGCGTTGACTCCAAATAGATAGGAGGACAGGAGGAGGACGAGAGGAGGATGGGAGGAGGACGAAAGGAGGACTGGAGCAGGACGGGAGGAGGACGGGAGGAGCAGAATCAAGCAAGCGCAAGAAAGCAAGCGGAAGCAAGCAAGCGCAAGCGAGCAATAACAAGCAAGCAAGAGCCAGCGATCAAGTGCAAGCAAGCAAGGGCAAGCAATAGCAAGCAAGCGAAAGCAAGCACGCGCGCAAGAGCAAGCAAGCAAAGTGCAATTGGAAAAAGGGGGGGGTGGTGCCATTGGAACAAAGGGGGGCGGTTGCCGTTGGAAAAAGGGGGGGCGGTAATAAAGACCAATTACTTATGATGAGCTAGGACTCCTATAGCGCAAGCCTGTATGGATACTTACTTATGATGAGCGAGGACTCCTATAGGGCAAGCCTATTTGGAGAACATATCATCTGCCAGCTGTGGAGGCCCGTGATAGAGGCCCCGCTTGGTGTTTCGCTTCTGCTGGGCAACACCTCGATTTGTTGGGGGCTGATTTAGCGAGCGACTGGCAACTATGGGGGCTGCACCAAGACGCCCGCGCTGTCTCTCGGCTGTCTCTGAGGTGAACGAGCCTCAGACCGAATGGTCTCTCGAGAAGGATTTCGCGCTTCCCCCTCCTCCCGAGGGTGGCCGCGGACATAATCCACGAACCTTACGGGCCAGCGAAGGCACCGGCGCCCCGAAACCGCACGGTTCCAGGGCACAGCAATTTTAGGGAGAAGGGGTCGGCGGCCAGGGCCGCTGGCTGCCTTTTCCTCCTCTACCCCCTTCTTCCTCCTGTCCCGATTTTCAGTTTCCCCTGCGCTCCCGTTCCTTCCTCTTCCACCCTCCCCTCCGCTTTCCTTTCCCCCTCTTCTCTCACCCGTTCCTCCCCCGCTCCCCCTTCCCCTTCCCCTTTCCCATTCCCCTGCATGCCCGCTCAATTTTCCGCCTTCCTGCTCCGCTCCCTCCCCGCCCCTCCCTCCTCGCCCTCTTCTTTCCGCCCTCCCGGCTCCGCCCTCCCCACGCCACAGCGACACGATGTGAAGACTGCTTCCCTCTCTCCCCCGAGGATGTGCCGGGAGTGGCGCGCGCCCCTCCGCGCACTGGTTCTGACCCACGGGACTTGGTCCGATGGTCCGAGCTGCTCTTTCTCGATGCGTCCTTCCAGTCCGAGCGTTTGCGGTACGTCTCGAGTGGTGATCCCTCTGCAGCGTGGGCCCCCTCTCAGGATCGGCGCTGTGCTCTCGACGCTCATAAAGGGCGCTCTCACCCCAGCGCGGGCCATCTTGCTGGATCCGAATCCTTCCCCGTCGTTGTCGCCCCCCTCTTTTCCCCTCCTCCGCCTTTCCTGGTCCTCCCGCTCCTCCCGCTCCTTCCACTCCAGCTCCTGCTGCTGCTGCTGCTGCTGTTCGTCCTCGTCCTCCTCCTTCCTCCTCCTTCCTCCTCCTCCTCCTCCTCCTCCTCCTCCTCCTCCTCCTCCCTCTCCTCCTCCTCCTCCTCCCCCGCCTCCTTTTCCTCCTGCTCATCCCCCACATCCTCTAATGAACGCAGCTCCCCTCGCTGATTGCGCATAACTCGAGGGGATCCATTTTGGAGTTGCACGTCCCCTGTGACACGCGTCGGTGGATAGAGAAGACATGAACGCAACGGGAATGGACGGGTGGGAGGGATGGGATGTCAGATATGGCGCGAGCGCACCCAGCTTGCCCTCCTCTCCCGCCCCTCCCTTTCCCTCCCTTTCCTTCCCCCCCTCCTCCCCCCCTCCTCCCTTCCTCCTCCTCCTCCCTTTGCATCGCCCCCCTCCCCCCCTCCCCCCCTTCCAGCCGACCTGGCACGAGCCCGGGCCCCTCCGCGGGCCGGACGGGCCGCGGGGCGGTGCCCGCCGCCGCCGCTCCCGTCGCGCGTGGTTCCGCTCGGAGCCCCGCGGGCATGAGCGCGGGGGATGGCGCCCTCGACCTGGAGGACGAGGGGGGGGGGAGAAGGCCTCTTTTGCTGCGGGGGGCTCAGGAAGGGGAGAGGAGGCAGACGGCTCATCCTTTTGTCTTTCCCCACATCCAGAGTGGGGTTCATGCTTTCTCTAGACACCCCGCGCAGGAACCAGAGAACACCCACACTCACACACACTCACACGCTCTCACACACTCACTCACCCACTCACTCACCCACTCACACGCACACACACACACACACTCATCATCATCACTCACTCACACACTCACCCACTCACTCACCCACCTATCCGCCCACTCACTCACGCACTCACACTCATCATCATCACCATCACCATCATCATCACCACCATCATCATCATCATCATCATCACCATCATCATCATCACCATCATTGGATGGACCATCATCATCAACAACATCATCATCATCAGCACCATCATCATCACCACCATCATCATCATCATCGCCATCACCATCGCCATCACCATCACCACCATCATCATCATCATCACCGTCGTCATCATCATCATCATCACCATCATTATCATCATCAACTTACTCATTCACTTACTCATCTCAGGCGGGAGCTTCGTCTGTGAGCGACTTGCCAGGAAGTCTCAGGCGGGGTCTCTTCCCTATGGGGCGTGCAGCTCATGTGACTAATCCAAGCGGGTCATCGGAATCCTGCAACTGTCGTCACTTTTGGCCTTTTCAAGCTTGAGTATGCCGAACGTCTCAGGCGGGAGCCTCGTTTGTGAGTGAACTGCGTGGAAGTCTCAGGCGGGAGCCCCCTCATTATGGGGCCTGCAGCTCATGTTACCAATCCGAGCGGGTCATCGGAATCCTGCATTTGTCGTCACTTTTGGCCGTTTCAAGCTTGAGTATGCCGAAAGTCTCAGGCGGGAGCCTCGTCTGTGAGTGAATTGATAGGAAGTCTCAGA